GCAGCCAGCATCATGATGGCACTCACCAGCTGTGATGTCCTGGGCAGCCAGCATCATGATGGCACTCACCAGCTGTGATGTCCTGGGCAGCCAGCTCTTTCTCTTATGTCTTATGATGAGTTTAGGACGTCGTAGTCCACGGTCACGCTGATGCGCCGCCTTCGTCGTCCTCCGTCTCCGAGTCGTCGTCGGATGTAACGTTGGACGTGTTTCGTCTATTTGCCCTCATTTGGGCACGCTGATGCAAGATGCTGTTGCTTCATAATGCCAGCATCATGATGGCACTCACCAGCTGTGATGTCCTGGGCAGCCAGCATCATGATGGCACAGCTGTGATGTCCTGGGCAGCCAGCATCATGACGGCACTCACCAGCTGTGATGTCCTGGGCAGCCAGCATCATGATGGCGGTGAGGCCGGCGCTGAAGATGACGTTCTGCCCCCAGTTGAGCAGCGCCAGCGACGTCGCCGTCTTGAGCGACGCCTTCTCGTAGCGGCGGCCGTAGTGGTCGTAGCGCTCAGCCTCGTACATCTCGTTGCTGAAATACTGTCGGGACAGTTGTGATGCGAGTGATGGTGAACAGATGTTATGATGTGAGTGATGATGAACAGATGTTATGATGTGAGTGATGGTGAGCAGACGTTGTGATGTGAGGGCAGTGATGGTGAACAGACGTTGTGATGTGACGACAGTGATGATGAACATAAGACAGTTGTGATGTGAGTGATGGTGAACAGACGTTGTGATGTGAGGGCGGTGATGCTGAACATAAGATAGTGATGTTGAACATAGAATAGTGATGTTAGGCAGTGATGTCGAATGTAGAACATAATGCAAGCGCCGTGATGCCAGGCTTGGAGTAAAGGACTTCATGCCTGTCTCATGGTTGTCAAGGAAACCTTATCACCATTTCCTCATAATATACATTTCCATTCCATCTCGCTGTTAAGCTGTACCCATAGTATGTACTTATGTAAAAACAGTACCACGACTACCTAAGAATTTTGCTGCAAACCTTGACAGTCTCGTAGTTGATGAGAGAATCGATGGCTCTGTTGCTGGCCTCGTTCTCTGCCTTGTTCATGTCCACCCTGAACTTAGTGCGCCACTGATCATCACCATTGATCACCATTGATAACCATTCATCACCATTAATATGTTTGCTGCAAACCTTGACAGTCTCGTAGTTGATGAGAGAATCGATGGCTCTGTTGCTGGCCTCGTTCTCTGCCTTGTTCATGTCAACCCTGAACTTAGTGCGCCACTGCGTGACGCTCAGCGTAAACGCTGCGTATGATCCGATGCTTGCCACCGAAACAAGCGCGTACATCCAGCCACACTTGTATGCCTGCACACAATATCATTCATAAGTCTTCTGTCTCAATGCAATGATAAGTATTCTGTCTCAATGATAACTATTCTTGATCATTGATAAGTGTCCTGTCTCAATGATATATAGTCTATCACAATGATAAACATCCTATCTCAATGATAGCTATTCTGTTTCAATGATAAGTGTCCGGTCTTAATGATAAGTATCCTGTCTCAATGATAAGTATCCTGTCTCAATGATAAGTATCCTGTCTCAATGATAAGTATCCTGTCTCAATGATAAGTATCCTGTCTCAATGATATATATTCTGGTTCAATGATAAGTATCCTGTCTCAATGATAAGTATCCTGTCTCAATGATAAGTATCCTGTCTCAATGATAAGTATCCTGTCTCAATGATAAGTATCCTGTCTCAATGATAAGTATCCTGTCTCAATGATAAGTATCCTGTCTCAATGATAAGTATCCTGTCTCAATGATAAGTATCCTGTCTCAATGATAAGTATCCTGTCTCAATGATAAGTATCCTGTCTCAATNAACATTCAAAGCATACAAAAGAGGATGGATAATATCATGAAAGGGAGGTTATTTTTAATTACGTAGTCGGTCGATATTATTTGATAACTCGGACATGTAAACTTTGTCACTGTTGTTTACTTGAGTGAATATTTAATATTATTGATGGCACAAACAGAAAAAAAAGATGTAGTAAGACTTCCAGTTTCTTGTCAGCTTCATTTGTTTCTATAAATTCGTCCATAAGAAAACTTAACTATCGTGATCTCTAACAAATGTGCGAAAACTGCACGTTGGGTTGGCGTGGGTTTTTCCTATTAGTGAAATATTTTGTCTCGGCATACTGAAATATCAATTTCGTGACAAGTTATCGAGATAATTAAACCCTCTGACCAAAATACAGCTTTTTTCGATGAAGGATTTAAACGACTGTAAATATTAAAAGTTTACTGAGGAAAATCTTGATTTATAAATCCAAGAATGGTTAATAATTAACAGTGTACATGTAAAGTTACGGGTACTATTGACATATATGTATGTTAAAAAACCTTTCTCGGTGGATCCAATGCAGACACAAATTAACAACAATTTTCAATCAGGAATACATAATTATTTTTAACAAAGTAGTAGAAAGAATCATCTAATAAATTGCATCAACAATACAATCGAGGCATTCACAAGATTATACGAGCAACGTTCGGTTTATTTAAATAATTGTCAAAGGTTGTTTGGCAATTGTGAATTCAAAGCAGGCAATTAAATTATGAGCACGATGAAGTTATAGGCTACAGAATTGGCAAAAACAATGTCATCTCTTTTCGTAAGCTGCTAAGCAGTCGTCGACAAGCCTGACGTATTCCTGAACTAAGGTACATCCTATCACTAAATGTTGAGATTTATCAGACAAATTCATCATTTTCATCAATGAATCCTTGAGCAACTGACGGGCAGAGCAGATGATACAAATAATAATGCGGGTCTCAGCTTCATTGTCAGCGTTCGCTCCCTCGTACGCTAACTGCCACGACCCAATCTGGTCATCACGCAACAGCAGAATTTTGACCACAGTCGTCAAAGACCATGAAGGCCCATCTCTGGCTAAGAACATGTTACTAGCCTCGCCCAGAGAGCTAGCAATTGACTTCTTCGACTCCAGTGACGTGGTCAAAGAATCTGGAAGGTGGCTGTCATGTATTGCAGACAAGACATCTTCCATGGAAATAGGAACGCCATCGTGGGGGTTGTTAGGCAAGAAGAAGCCGTACTCCACAAACAACTTCACGTTGTCATGAGGTCCATAACTGATGAATATTTGATCATACTTAGCATAAGGAACATGGGTAACTATCTGGTACATATCATTTACATCTAATTCTACGCTGACACTAGCTTCACAAGAATGATTTAAGAAATCTAGAAATGGAGCTAAAGCACAGGAACCATCATCATCGGGGCACAGGAAGAGACAACGCTCTTTTGGTTTTAAATACACGGTTCTTGAATTAACAGCCATGTACGACCAAGTTATATCCGAGGGTGAAATGTTTTGTGTGTTGCCTGGTATGTGCTTGAAAACACAGCTTATTTTTCTCCGTGCAACCTCTAATATTGAAAGCTGACATGATAGAGGAGAGGCAATGAAAGAAGGATAAAGCTCAACCTCTGCTTGGCTCGATGCAACGTGAAACATTGTGGGCAAGGACTCGACATAAGGCTTCCAGAGAGATCCTTCCTTCAGCTTAGCATGATACAGCAAAAACACAGCCAAGAGTTCACATGACGTGAATTTCAAACTTGTTCTTTCCAAGGCTTTCTTCAAAACATCATCATTGCACACATCCACACATGAAACCATCAAGTGTCTGGGTATGGAGATGATGCTGTCACCAGCAGCTATTGGCTTCAGGGCCATCACGCCACGGCCTGTGGTTGAGAACAATGCTATTCTTAGACCAGTCAAGCTTCTTGTAAGATTTGAGTCTTGGGAATTGCTATTCCACTTTTCCAAGTTGTTAGTAGATGTTAAATTTGGAGTTGGTTTGTTTGAAAATTTCTTCATCCACTGTCTCAGGCATATTATTTCCTTTTGGTGGTCACATGAAATGGCCTGCAGCACACTTGTTTTCTTTCTTTTCCTATGGCGGGAAGTACTGCCACACTTCTTGGAATGGCTAGACACTGAGTGATTTATTGGAACAATAGTTTCCATTGCAATAGCCTTTTGTTTTATCTTATCAGTGAACTTTTTACCTACAATCTTTGTTTAAATGTAAATCGAGAAGTGCCTAAAAATGAAATGAAATTAATAACAGCAAAAATTTGTTACAACTTTCAATTTCATTTTCAGATTAAAAAAAAAACAGAAACATTTTACAATTAGTGACAATTTAAACCTGAAGTTGCATAGTTGAAACACATCCTATGAATAATTCTCTGGTAATTTTACAATGAAAAAGTCTTAGAAAACAGGGTTTTCTTCTCAATAGTCCCAGATACTGAAAAGGGACCATGACAATCAATTAGGGAATCTCCTTGTTTTCCCTCAATCCCACTAAACTCTACACAAATGATAGGAGTCACATGCCTCTCTAATTTACCACATATTCATTGCATAGACATTCATTCCAATGAGTAGAGTTAGGCTGAATAAAACGGCAATTTATTGGAAGAAATGATGGTTGGAGATGAAATTTTAGAAAAATCTTCAGTAAGCTACAGGATATTTGAAAACCACTTCACTTAAAGATTAATTTATTATTTAAACATTGATAAAAACTCATTTCCTTTGAAATAAACTTGCACATACTTCAAAGGTTTTAAGTGAATTGGTGGAAATTTTTGCTCAACCAAATAAAATCATAGAAATTCTATTATCTAGGCTAACCTGGATATTCTTATTAAATAAAATAAAATAGAATTTTTTACTAAACTGCCATCATATCAGCCAACACATCAGATAAGTGCCTAACTTAAAGCACATTAAGGTAGCTTCCCTACACAAAAAACAATGGATTCAAAATACACCTCTGGGACATTACTATGGCATTTTTTCTAGTGTATTCTAATGTTTTTTTTCTAATGTAATAAACTTAAAGGCTTTGGGACATTTCAAACCTAGCTGAAAAAAGGAACAATTCTAAAATATCTTTCAACAATACTCAGCAACTGTGCTAGTTTTATGCTAGTTTTATAGATGGTAAATATAGATTGCCACTTATATAGTGAATAAACTGTTAATCATAATAACAATGCAATGTAACGCCAGCAGCATTGCATATGATATATATGCCATTAGCATGTGTTCATGCTCATAAATTACACTGACTGAAATAATAATCAAATCTTTCTCTCAATATTGGTCTTAAATAACCATATATGGAGATTTGAGAATTATAATATTCAATTATCACCACTAGAATTGATAGTAACTTGATTTCTATAGAGCAGAAGTCCTGGAATGTTGGTGCCACACTTAACAACAGTCTGCATGAGCAGTTTTCTTTGTACCATATATAAATCAAAGAGTCAAGTGGGTGAGGTGAATTGGCATAAATTTCCCATAGGGCAAAAAATTAATTGCTAATCATTTCTTGCTTGTTATTTATTTATGACTAATTAATTCAACTTAAATGTTATTTATTTATTTGTGTGGATCTTTACTTGTATTGTAGAACAAAGGCTTTAAATGTACAATTAACCTGCTCCTCATATTTTAACTAATACCAGTAGTATATAGCAAAATAACATATTGAAATGGTCATTTTATTACAATATGTCATGAAAACCAAGCACATATTAAACTCACTCCCTTATAAGTTCATACAGAATTTCAAAGCTTTTTAGTGCATTTTCTTGCTCATGGAAAAAAATGTCCTATTGTGCAAATGCGCTCTCTGCCACTCACTGCAGTGAGTACCAAGTTATTTTGTTTTCATTGAAAAAGCAAATAGTACTGAGAAATAAGGTACAAGATTGAAAAGAGATGCATTTTACTAAAATTTGTGACCCTACACCATGACCTACATGTATACCTATTTTAGTTACTGGTTAAATCTAAAATTTCATAGGTTAAAAATCTGTTTTTAAATTATTATACGTTTCTTTTATAATCACAGGCAAATCCATGTGACAACACTTCTTCTCACTTCAAGTCTCTGGTATGTGGAACAAAGCATAAGATGAAAACCAACTAGATGAAGCTATGCAGGAGTGAGGAGTAAATGTTTCAACCACAAGTCCTTCCCAGCTCCCACCTCACAAATTGACGGAGAGATATGTCAATAGCATCAGAATGCTTGGCAAAGGCCAACTGGGCCTATTCTTAAATACTAATGTCTAGTTATGTTATGAATATGATTATATGAAGGACTACATTTATATAATGTAAATTAGGAAAGGGCAAAAAACATGGGATGATGGGAGAAATTGCTTCTTCAATAATCTTCATCAGTAATTTTCAGTGATTTCTGCCCAATTTTCCAGATTAGATCAAGTGCCTGTGGTGGTAGTCAATTTCAAATGCTCAGCTCATTTAGTAAATGGATTTAGCCATTGACTTATTTACCTATTTGTCAAAATTAGTTCAAAACTTGAAATGGTACCGGTAATGTTACTTGAAATGTTAATGTACCGGTAATCTAATTGATTTGTATGATTTTCAAAAATTTGTTATGAAAAAAATTTTTTCATCTGAAATTTATTTAAACTTTAGTCTAACATTTCAGATTTGCATCCCATTCCTACCATATTATTGTCAACTAAACTTTAGAATTGAGCTGCAAGTTTTTCATTTTACCCAAATTAGATAAGTGATTTTGGAGCCAAACAATGTTCCATGGAAAATGTATAGATTCCCATCTTGGAGGATGGTTCTAGTAAATTTTCTCAGTCTGGACTCAGTTGTCATTTTGTCAATGTCAGCTTGTAATTCTATCATATATATGAATGAGAATAGAAAATACAGCATTGACAACAATATTAGAATTAGAATAGAAGTGTCGGCATTGAAGAAATAGGCCCAATATTGTCATAGACAAAACAGCAAATTAAAACCAAATCATATATCAGTTTAATCTCCAATTCTGATTTTTCTATCTAGTATCTACTCCTCAGCATTGAACTTGATCTAGTATATACAGCTAACGCCCCAACGGAACACTGATTAAAGCTTCCGGACGCGGCCTGACCTGCATTTAGGTTTCGGAAAGCAACATACCTGCATTGACAATTGAGAAAGGCAACCGGTGCGGCAAAAATCATTAACAGTTGGCTACGATATTATGATACAGAAAAAGCACATTTTTTGACTGAAAAAAAAATAGTTAATTAACTATCTCGTTTTCTGATTGGCACATCACATGGCTATCATAACCCCGCGAATTGTTTGAGCACAAGCCTCCAGCGGATGCTTGTACTCTATGTGATCCACAAATCAGCTGAGCTACCACAATAGAGCGTATGAATACAATTCTAGTGTGTAGATAATTTTCCCTAGAATTTTTGATGAAACACGTTAAATTTTATTTCCAGTGCCAGAATTTTGTAGAATAATTGCATAAAAGAAATAAAATGATGTGTTCTGCAAATGTCAATACCATATAACATTACTTTTCCGAGGCAATATTGTTTAAGCAATAAATTTCTTCGGACCTATCTTCCCTCAAATTTAAATTAAATATTCTTATAATTCCGAATTATTTGTCTCATGGATTGTTCTTTTGCTGAGTTATCACTGAACTAATACTGATCTTGATTGAATTGCTAATGATTAGTTTTTCATGCGCATACGTAACTGAGTGGGCCGCTGAGAGAGCGGTCACACGTACTCTCTTTCACAGACAGCACGTGTAGCCAAGCAAGTGCGGTTGTCCTACGAGAGGCTGCGTATAAGAATTCTTGAGTGAGGTTGCAAACTTCAAGCTAGATGCATTTTCGTGTTGTTTAAGAGTTCAGTTAAATCTGAAATTTTATCATCACTCGTGTATGTTCCACTGGCGGTGTCTTACTGGATATTAAACACAAGATATAATAAATTCAAGCCGTCTCAATCCCTGGTCCACCATCCGGCGAGTTTCTTTACACTTTACAGCGCAGGTGAGAAGTGCTAAATTATTCTGCATTCATCTCCACTGCTACATAAACGTAAGAACAATTTTTGAAGACTTTATTGACTTACAAAATCTGTCTCAACTGGTCTAGAAGTATGTTTTTACTTGTATTTATGTCCGTTTGTTCCAATTCGAAGATCGCATGAACGGTGAATGACCCTGAACTTTACAATGCAGTTAAATACCTGCACCATTCATTCAGCCTGTGGCCAGTCATGCCTAACTCTGAACTGGTTATTGAAAGGAGAAAGGCTGAGCTGCAGCAAGAAACATTTCCATGCATTCTTACTAGTTTTTCCATTGGTTGATAATTTATGGAAATAAATTATATATACTTCTATTCATGCATTATTGACAAGTTAGAACATTAACTCTGATTATCTGATACAATAATTTAAGAGCAGAAGGTCTATATTAATTGATCTTGCATAAAAAAACTTCAGTTATTGTCTTTTTCTTATTACTTCAATAATTATTGATTATAGTCATGGAAATGCATATTAATAAAATTGTACTAAAAATGCTTGAGCAATCCAGCCAAAGAAATGCAAAACACTTAGAATTTCTTGCATTAAAAATTTTTCTCTATTTTACATAAGAGTGCAATTAAATATAGAAATTTTGTCTGTGCATATTCCATTATAAGATTAGAATTTTGTGCTGCTAGTGTCTTTCTAACATAGTGGGATCAATCTGGTATTGGATATAATTCTCAATCCTTCAAAATCAACTAAGCACTTGATGCAAAAAGTTGTGATGGATGGAAAAGCACTGAAGTATTAGCCCAAACAATCATTTCTATCTCCCTGAACTAATCTTCATATTGCCTTCCCTTTCATTAAAGCATAATGCTCATTATTTATTAAGGAACATGAAGAGCATCTGCATCCAGGTTGTTTAGATGACCTTGACTCTTATTAGCCCAGGTGTCAAGGTTGTATTCCACAGCACTGCTGTGTCAGCTGAGCCTGATGTATGCTTCCCTGTGTTGTTGATAAACTTACTGCTTGTATGTCCTAGAGTCATAGACCTTGTGACATCATTACTGCCAATTTTGCTCTTGGTTTACTTAACTTTCTTTTATAAGCTCAAGGTGCCCATTGCCAGCAAGAATATTTAATTTATCAAATGTTTCTGACGTGTTACATTTCTTTTATAAGCTCAAGGTGCAAATTGCCCGCAATAATATTTAATTTATCAAATCTTTCTGACATGTTACGGTTCAACTGTATTCTAGTCCCTAATTTATATTACTAGGAACTCGTGTTTTGATGACATTGATTAGTCGTAGTCACGCGATGACTGTACAGATGACGTAGCAAGCCAACGTATACCGTAGCATGTTCTTGGCCCGCACAGCCCGCCCAGCTTCGTATTTAGACTTAGGACCCTACCTCTACAACCCCCTGAACACCCACTCTAGGTGATTGCGTTGATTGCTTGTTACTAAGCAGGGCCTTCTGTTATCGAGCTCCTAAACGTTTTGGCTTTCGCAAGCCTTTTTCTATTCATAGTATCGTATCAGTCGCGTTGGATGCTCGAATTAATTAATTAAAAATTAATTGGATGCACGAATTTTTTTTATTCACAGTATCGTATCAGTCGTGTTGGGTGCACGAATCAATTAAAAATTAATTGGATGCACGAATTTTTTTATTCGAAGTATCGTATCAGTCGTGTTGGATGCAGGGGAATTTCAGCGCTCGTTTCGTTGGTTATCGACATTTTACTTGTCTATGTTGTATGATCCAGATTGAATATTGATTGCACGATTGTTTGAACATATGAGTCATTCATCCGTAATCACTTGATTAATATTGTATTAAATATTGTATATATGTTTGAATAGAGGAAATAAATTGCTGACTCATCGCAAAATCGCCGACGTAATTTGTCGTGGTCGCGCGATGTGTTTCTTTGTCAATTATCAACCTGGGGATTTACACGTCTTTTTGTGTGCTTATCGAATGCGTCTCAAACGTCACAAGCCAAAGAAGCGTCTCTGATAACGGCCGCTGTCGTATTATTTGTTGTTGGCTCTGCCTAAGCATAGTAGAATTAGCCTCCACTCCATTAACGTTTCAACATTATTGATAATTAACCTTACCAATATCATGTGCCTAATGAATATATCCAAATGTTGCATGTTTAAAAATTGCAACAATTTGTGGTCAATTTTATGAGAGGGTAGCTCTGAAAAATATGTAAAATTATACTTAGCGCGGAATTTTTGATATATGCGGATGTCACATCAAATTTTAGAAGCAACAACATCCATGGTCCTAGCAAGAATGTTTCTAGCCAACATCGCTCCACCGCTACGTTGAACACTTTGGCGAAGTGAGAAAAACGTTTGGGGTCAATACACTTGCTGTTAGCCGACCTGTGCTCGATGCTTGTCGAGTGTGAACCTGTCGTGCCCCTGCATCGTTCATCAATAATTCTCCTATCATTTGATACTATCATATGTCTTGCCACGCATGGTGCAAACGTGCTGCCGCACTTGCTGCATATGTGTTACATCACTGTGTCGGAGTTTCAAAGGATTTGCATTTGTAATTATTTTCAGTCTACATGGCAAGTGTTTGTGCACTAAGATCGATCAAACATGAATAACAACATTATTATCCGATATTGTCCGCTCAAATTTAGCTAAGTGCCTGCCATATGTCACATTCTAACCAATAATTCTTATTTTCCTGCACGAAATACCGGACTGTAGGAGAACCTTATTTGAAATAGTGTTCCAAGCAGCAACCTCAGACCGACTACGTAATTGTTACGTGTATTCTAGAGAACTCCAAATGAAGTCTGAGGGCGACACTCGCTGATTCCTGTCGGGAATTATTGGCTGCTGTTCTGAGGGAATGAATTTTGTTGTGGCGGCGAGAGCTGATGCGTCTGCGCTGCCTCTTTTTATGCGCTAATTCGGTTGTTTTAGTTAGCTTCCGACTATACCGTGGCTTCTCTTTAATGGTCTTCGCTGTAAAGAGCGTTGCAGTGACGATAGCTTACCCCATGTATGGGCATCAATGCACGAGTGTTCTTCGGTATTTTGATAATAACGAAAGTACTTTTTTTTACTTGGCAAAAAATTTCAATTTCTGTCATATCTGTGACTGCCGAATTTGCAGCAACTTAATTGTTACAATATCTTCTACTACTATTATAGAGTGATTAGTTCATCGAATTGTATATTATTGCGTTTTGCCGTTTGTTACTCGACGCTAATTATCATAAATTTTCCCAAGTCTTTTTTGAAGTTGCGATTGGTTACCCCCATGACGTTTTTTTTCAATAAGACCGTCGTTAAACATCTTCCCGGGTGCGATAAAATCCATTTACGCTTCTTTATCTTCTTATATTTTCGATGCGTTACTTCCTTCTTTAACTGAATAATGAAATTTTTGATGGAACATGCGTGATGCTAGCGGATGTAGAGCCACGTGTTGCCCTGATGCCGGCATGAGTCTTGGCAGTGTGGTGAACCACGTGACCCGTCCTCACGTCTCATTGGTCGTCGTCATCTTCTTGGGCCTAATGCATCCACCAATCAGAGTGTTCCCTTCGTGTCACCTGACATAAATGTAGTCCCAAGATGCTCCTTATCGTAGCAACTCCTTTTTACATAACATAACATAATGATGTCGGCGCTGAAATGTAGGCCTGATGTGGCCTGTCGCCGATTCTTATCCTTTTCGTGCCTTGTTCATAGATCTAAACTTTTAGCGAATTTTCTACCTCTATGGAAAAAAAGGCGCTATTGTGCTCATGTCCGTCCGTCTGTCCGTAACTTCACGTTTTCGTCGACGAGAAAATGCGCTCTCTGTCACTCACTGCAGTGAGTACTAAGTTATATTTTTTAGGGTTAGTACTCGGCCCTAAAAGTGGCTCCTGATCCCCCTTAGCACAACTATGGTATTCCTACACGATGAATTATTCCCTGTCAATGAGGAAACGGAGTTTATTCAGCTATGCAGAATGTCCATGCATGTTATTAGCATCGATTCGAAATGTTGAACTTTCTTCATTCTTTTCGATTATTGGTTTTTATGAACATGCAGCCAGATTATGTATTTGTAAAAATGGGCAATGTCATTTCACGATTAAACATTTAATGGAGTTGTCTAGTTTGAATGTTTTCAGGTATGACTTCGTTATTGCTCCGTATTTGCTCTTGCGATTCTTGTCGCCTGACAAGCATTGATATTCATTTAATTGGTCTCTTATGATTGAGCGCAGGTATCGACACGAAGTCGTGTATCTAAATTACTCAAGTATTTAGAATGGGTGATGTCAACCTAGTTGACTCAGACTTGTAATGTTAATTGATTAACCGGAACTCTGTCACCATTGGGGAAGTAGCAAGCTCTGCATTTTTACGGTGGACTTGTTACCCTTCACAGGTCCCGCAGCGAGCACTATTGGTTCCCGCGCTCCTCCTGAAATGGGTACCATGAGCGAGGTTGTGGGGGTCGTGGCTCCCTTCGACAAGCGCCCTTCCTCCCCAGCAGCCTCCCCTTCCCCCTCCAAGACCCCCAAAGCTTCCCCACTGGCCCAGCCACTCCCCACTGAACAGCCTCCTTCCGATAGGATCCGCCCCAACATCGAACCTCAAAACAAGGTCAGTCTTGCGCTCGTGGCGTGCGCCAGGGGCCATACTTTCAAAACTCACTAAGTGAACGTAAGTACTTACGCTCTATTTTCTTGTCTGTGATTGGTGAATTTTGCTTGAAAGGCCGTCAATGATTGGCTGAAGAACTTACGATCTCTTAACTTCTTTTCTGAAAGTATAGGCCCTGGGCAATAAAATGATAGCTACCTCATTATTACTTTTTAGTAGACAATGATCTGGATATGCAATAGCTCGTCTTCAGTCATTAATGAACCATTCTTCCTTGAGAACGAAAGTTCATGTTTATTTCCAGGCAGGCAAATTATGCGAGTAAAACATGATATTGAAGTGGGTTTCTTTTATCATGATCCATCGTATGATTTTATACACTCCCCTTGTACCTACAACATTAAATACAGGCAAAATCAAAGTCGTGTATCTTAATGTGATGTAATGTCTCTGCTTGAGCTCTCAATGTGCGTTAGAATTTCTTTATATAAGGGAGAAGGTATTACATCTCGGGGAAAAAAGGCTGTTAGAAAAACGGTGAAAAAACGGTCTCACTGGCGTTCTAGTGGCCGGTCGCCCCGTTAAAATAAACTGTTTCGCCGTTTTTATCAGATGTTGAACGGATTTCTAGTGTTAAATTAGAATAAAAACGGTGACACGGTGTTTCTTTTCACGTGCCCACCGGCCACTGAAATGCCGGTAATACCGTTAACGATAATTTTTCTAATAGTACCTATGATGAAATTTTTTTTTGTTTGCCAGGAGGGCGCGGTGAGCGCTGAAGACGGTGAAGACAGCGGCCACGGTTCTGTGGAGAGCTACGGACCACACCTGAGACTCATCACCGCCAACAGACAAGTCAAGGAACTGCAGACCATCTTAAGGGACAAGTATGTTGCTACCTGTAACTCCAAGTGCCTTTGCTCTTATTTTAATATAGTTTGTCGGGCAAAATTTCCTACTCAAAATGAATAATTAGTAGTAAGCGTCCGTCTTCAACGACAAGCACGTTGCTACCTCAGCAAATGCCACAGGCCGATGCCATTTTTTTTAAATAACGCTGTCGATGAGAATTTCCTGCCGCTAATGAATGCATAGAAGTAATCATTGCATATACTCATCAGTGACCATGTGCATTGTTTACAACATCGTCTTGCTAGAGTAGCTCTTTTTGATCGTTTTCTTATGTGTTGTGGCGTATTTAATTACACATGGTTATTTTAAAATTGGACGTAACTCTTTTCTGATTTGATTATGTTCAGTGTTTGATTAATAGCTTATGAAATGTCTAAAAAATGTGCTGCTGATTAAACGATCAAATTGTGGGAACAAACTTCATTAATGTGTAATGACAGGGCATGATTATTTCTCTTCATAATCTCTGATCATGAATTCTATCTTTTTCAGAAACACATCTCGAAGCGACTTCAAATTCTACGCAGACAGATTAGTAAGTAAAGCGCACTGCAATTGCCGTGTTACTCGAGTATCACTTGGTATATAGTCTAGATGCTGGCTGGCTGTATGCGAGACTGGATAGCAAGCCTTTGTCACTATTATTATCCCTTCATAAACGAAATATTGGTATATGATTGATATCTCATCTATATCCTCGTCGGTAGGTATGTGTTTACGTTGTCATAATTTTTTTTTACTGACCTCGTCGGTATGTGTTTACGTCGTCATAATATTTTTTTACTGACCTCGTCGGTATGTGTTTACGTTGTCATGAATTTTTTTTTTACTGAATGATGAGCGAGTCGTGTGAAATGAGCTCTGAGATATCTATATTTACAGCAAGTTTTATGTATTCTGCACTCGCCCTGCTATGACAGTGTCGAAATATTCGTGTAATTTGTGTTGCTTGCTTGTAACAGGACGTGATTTGCTCGCATTCAGTCTTCGATTTCTCTGAGTTGTTTGAACTCCAAATAATGAAGGGACGGCTTTTTTAAGCCCATGATGTTATTACTGACGCTTGCTCGTCTAATGTATACTGAGAATCTTGCATGCTAGAGAATTGCCTAAACGCTTCCCTAGCAATTTTATCGGTCCGGTCAACCTTGAGATTTCTGCCGTGCTCGCCGCGTACGTTTTTCCTGATCAGCAGTTTTTTTACGTGTAGCCATTGGGACTATTATTATCCCTGCACGAACAGAGTGCTGGTGCTTTTTGCATTTGATCAAGTTCCTCAGTTTCAATTGTTTTTAAGTTGACGATTGACGATCTCAAGTTTCAATCGATCTCAAGTTAACGATCTCAAGTTTCAATCGATCTCAAGCTGACGATCTCAAGTTTCTATAGTTTTCAAGTTGACGTGAATATTATTTACTTAACGTTTCTGTCTGGCTGTAAGTTGTTTAGTTCTCGTCCAAGTGATCGATAAATGGGTAATTTTGCCTATATTTGCAATGCATGCCATCATATGTTATATCATAACTACATATGTTATCATATGTTATATCATAACTACATATGTTATCATATGTTATATCATAACTACATATGTTATCATATGTTATATCATATCTATATATGTTATATCATAACTACATATGTTATCATATGTTATATCATATCTACATATGTTATATCATAACTACATATGTTATCATATGTTATAGCATATCTACATATGTTATATCATAACTACATATGTTATCATATGTTATATCATATCTACACATGTTATATCATAACTACATATGTAATCATATGTTACATCATAACTACATATGTTTTGGTGTTGCAGATTCGCCTTGTGATCGAGGAGGGCCTGAACCAGCTGCCCTATGGGGAGTGCACCATCGTCACCCCCACAGGCTGCCAGTACCAGGGCCTGCAGTTCACTAAAGGCAACTGCGGCGTCTCCATCGTACGCTCCGGGGAGGCCATGGAGCATGTGAGTACGGGTCTAGGAGGCCATGGAGCATATGAGTACGCTCCGGGGAGGCCATGGAGCATGTGAGTACGGTCTGGGAGGCCATGGAGCATGTGAGAACGGTCTGGGAGGCCATGGAGCATGTGAGTACGCTCCGGGGAGGCCATGGAGCATGTGAGTGAACTTCGAGGAGGCCATGGAGCATGTGAGTACGCTCCGGGGAGGCCATGGAGCATGTGAGTGCGCTCCTGGAGGCCATGGAGCATGTGAGTACGCTCCGGGGAGGCCATGGAACATGTAAGTGATTGGAGGGGAGGCCATGGAGCATGTAAGTGAGCTCCGGGGAGGCCATGGAGCATGTAAGTCAGCTTCCTTTAAACAGGACATGGATCATGCAAGTTTATTCCTCCAAAGAGCAGTACCTATGTCTTTTAAGCTGCTGCTGACCGTTCTGTCTGACATCTCTCGTATGTAGTGTAATCATCGCGTGCCTATTAATTTAATCTTTATGATCGATCACATTATTTGTGAATATGGCCGTACTTTGCCACCGGACTCAACTCAAATGATTTATATGCTTCCAATTCATGATATATTTCAAAATTTTAGTCTCTTTCTTTTCCTGGTTATTTGCAACTGGCTAATAGTATCATTCTCAGCCGTAGCTGTTTGTTATTTTACTACATTCATTTCATTTTTATGTTGTCAGTCTAAAATAGCTCTTATGCTTTCATATTTATAATCATTATATGTTATAGATATCAAGTGGTATAGGGACCAATGTCGGTTATAAAGAAGTTAAGTATGTCCCTGGGCCTATACTTTCAAAAAATTTAATAGATCGTAAATTCATCAGCCAATCATTGACGGACTTTCAAGCAAAATCTACCAATCATAGGGTACGCACTCAGTGAAAGCAGGTTGCCAGCGTGCTGGTTACCTGCTCAGGCTGGCGCCTGAAACCATAGAATAAAGAAGCCTATTCGTACAGGTTTTCTATAACACTTACATTATTATCCTATGTTCATTCATGTGGCAGGTTGGAGCAGGTTGCCCGCGCGGGCAAACCTGCTTTCACTGTGTGCGTACCCATAGACAAGAAAATAGAGCGTAAGTACTAACGTTCACTTAGCGAGTTTTGAAAGTATGTGGCTGTATGCAGGGTCTACGACTATGCTGCCGCAGTATCAGGATCGGCAAGATCCTGGTGGAGTCTGACGCCGACACCCACGAGGCGCGGGTGGTCTACGCTAAATTCCCTGACGACATCAGCCAGAGGAAAGTCCTCCTCATGTACCCCATCATGAGTGAGTTGCTCTACACTTTACTAACAATTGATAAAATCAGTCCTTGATCATTTCGTACTTCAAATATTTAATCAGTCTTCAATCGAATTTGACTCAACTATATTTATTAAACTATTTTGATTAGCCTCAACTACTTATATTAGTTCAGGCTAGTGTAGAAGTAAATAAAACTCTGTTATCCCGAATACGATTTATGAATCATGGAATTATCCGGGATGTGCTAGACCTTAAATCTTTAAATAATTTGCAAAACTTCCCATTTGGTTGGCTGGAATTATCAGGTATTTGCTACACTTTAAATCTCTAAGGTAATTTATAAAACTTCTCATTTGGTTGGCAGGCTCGGGGAACACGGTGGTGAAGTCTATGCGTGTGCTGAAGGAACACGAGGTAGAGGAGCACAACGTCATCCTGCTGAACCTCTTCTCGACTCCTTCTGCTGCACGCACGCTCACAACCGCCTTCCCTCAGGTCATTAGTAATGTTGTTATCCCCTCTAATTATTATGTTTTTTTCTGTCTATTTTTTTATTTTTTCTGTCTGTTCTGTGTCGGGTCCTTTGCTTGTTTACTTTAGCCCTTTGCTTCGTATTAGTTTAATTTTTTTCATTTGATTACAGAAATCATTAATTGAAGTAGAATTACGCAGAATATCGAAAATTTAGAAGAGTATTCTTTGGAACGCAAATTTTCCAATGGATAATGTTATATTTGTAATGTCATTTGGACGGTATTTTCTTCTTTTGAGTGATGCAAGCAACTTTCGATGATGATGTAAAGTAATTTGCATATAGGCAACATTTTATTGCATCTATAGCCAAAATCAAAATTCTATTCGGAACCAATTTTCTACTGCAGATGAGAATCCTGACTTCGGAAGTACACGCCGTGGCACCCAATCATTTTGGTCAGAAGTATTTCGGCACCGACTAGAGGCTCGGAGCTGGACAATCTCGTGTGCAATCTATTAAATCTTCTCCTTCTTTAAATCCAATCTTTCTGTTCACGCGCATATTCATCAGACGGTTCGTCTTGCGGGGCAATGCAAGCTGTGGATTATTTGTCGATTGTTGTATTGCAGCTGAGCGTTAAATGGTAGATCTGGAAGAATAGATTCAGTTAAGTGGTAATTAGTATCTAATTTTGTTTAAACATCAACGCTGAACAATTTGCTGACAATTTTTTACAATATGAAGACTGAGCGCCCTAGATATTAACAGATCCCGCCAGTTTTCAAAGAGGATCTTGTTTATTCAAGAAATTGTTCATAATTATTCTCTGCGACCTACGTTCCGATAAGTAGTAGGTCTTGAGATGCATCCTGTGCTTATGACTCGGCTTGCCAATTTTCATTACTCAAGTGTAAAAAATGTTCACATTGTAGGTTGCTCCTACATCTTAAGGTTTTGTATTTATTTGTTATTTTTTAATTATTTACGAACCTTTTGCTTGTCCTTTGCTTTATGAGAAAGATTGACGAGCGGTATGACTTACCAGGCGTCTGATGTTGAAAATACGTTGATTTCAACGAAATCAACTCGTAATCTACGTTTTTCCAGCGTCATTTGCCTGCAGGGGAGGAATTGATGAGCGATATATAGGTGGTTCGAAAAGGCATCTGCAGAGTTGCATGCATTTCGAAAGCTCCTTTGTGTTACGCATTCGAAGGGCTTCTAGCAAATCAGCAATTAGGCAATGATTTATTCTCTTTCAATTACAATGGAGCAATAAGCTGGTGTATTGTATAGCTTTTTTTAACACCGTTGAACGTCAGCTAACAACGCTACCCTGTTGTCAGAGCCATCGTTGGCGCCATAAATGAGCATCTCAAATGCTTATTTATTTATTGAGTGATGCAGCGGCGCTCGCCAGGGCTGCCAATTTATGACCGCTGTATTTTGAACTGTACAATTGCTCTGAGGTGTTCCTTCGGTAGTCGATGTTTGGAATTGTAATTGATGAATTTCGACGTAGACAATTGTTTGTCTTTGCGCTTCCACGGGAACATGTGGCAATTTCGTTATATAATCAATGCAATTTTCGTTCCGTGCTTCTGGTGGGGTACTTGGGTTGTACTTAACGCTCCCAGTCATTATTGTTAATATATCTATGGATTCTGATGTTATTTTAATGATCGTTAAATTTTTATTGGTCTTGTTTGTTTGGTAAAGTTTGCCGCATCCTGGACTTGAAATTAATTTTTTTTACCTGTTTTAAAAATTTTCACTAGAAACTCGTACATTTGATATGCCAGTGTTCTAGTGAAGCCGCCATTGCCAGACAAAATCAGATTGTACATAAAAGGAAATAAGGCTTCCATGACGAAATTTCAATTTCGTTTTCCAAAGTTGCAATCCACAACTGGCAGTTTAATATCAATAAAGAACATGCAACGTTGTTCCAGCCGTGAAGATTTTGTGCTTAGACTGCAGTATTTTCTTGCCACGTTATTCTTGTCATCACTTTTCTCTGCTACGGCGAGGAAATATTTATTTGTGAACTTAATTTTAAGTTTTTATAACTTTACCTCTCAGTTATTCTTGAATTCCATGTCTGGACGTAACGACTTGATAAATCATTGAGGTTTGCACTGTTGAACATGTCGCCTGGTATTGTCGTGCGTGCACTTACTAGGTATGGTGTATCTAAGTCATTCTTTTTATTCGAGACTTTCTCTCTTCTCTTTCTTTAAACGAGGCCCTTCAGATGGTCGTGTACGAATCTTTTTCGTGGTTGTGGTAGCGTGTAGTTGGTTAGCAAAGTGGCTGACTGATTTTGAATGCGTTGCATAATAATGTCGGCTTCTAGATTCTAGAAAATAATTTTGTCCCGAAGTAGCGTGCAGGTTTTGTAGCCTTACGGCCATTAACTTGAAAGAAGAACTTCAGTACGAACACCTCTAGTTGCTCTTTGTGGTGCTGAATGCCATCTCATACATGTATCTATTCCTTTGAATGCTTAGTGCAAATGTTTTTTTTATGACTGTTTGCTGCAATCGTCATTTTCATTAGCTGATAATCTCGAGTTAAATAGTGTTTCTTCTGAGCTATTTATCATTCTGGCACTTTTGCCAGAAAGTAACACCCATTTTTCTACCTAATCGTTTACTACGGGAATAGTGGAGATTGTGTTCATTTATCTATTCTAATTCCGATTCTCATTTGTACGTTCGCCACAGTTAGGACCACTTATTCCATTCAATTTTCATATGTTGTGGACGTAGAAATTAACGAGCTTCCCTGTTTGGGGGAATCGTTGGTGGTTAGTCAATCTCAAGTTATCGTTTTGTTTGCTTTAGTCAATCTCAAGTTATCGTTTTGTGTGCACGCTTTTTCCTCTCGTCTTTTCTTGCGTATTTTGTACGCAGCAGACTCCACTTGAATGAATTACTGCTCCGTATTTCGTTATGTTTCTCTTACTAACGATCATTTTACGGTTACAGTTCGCAGTTACTTCCGGGCGAAAATTGAGACCGGGAATCTTCTATGTATGATCTGAATGTCTTAGTTCCTATTGCATACACTCAGTGAACTCCTTGAAATTGAAGGATTTTCCACTCGATGCGGCCATGTTTTTCTATTTGTGTTTATATCTTGATGAAGACACTACCATTGTGACTTTCATGATGTTCAAATGTTTTCCGAACTCTGGACATTGATTTTGAGTTGACTTGTCTCTTCCACTGACGACGTATTCTTTTTTTATGACGACTTTACAATTTTGGGGTTTCGTAATTAAACTTGTTGTGCCTAATGCATTGCACAGACATCTATGATCATTCTATGGTCTTAATTATCATGAAATTTTTTGCCAATAACTCAATTCATTTAATCGTACGCCTGATACTTGCATTTATTGTTATTTTATCTTTCACTACTACTGTTAGTACGTGTCTACTCTACGATTGATTTCACGTATTCATGCGCAGTATTTTTTACCTCAAACTATTGAACTGGAATGGATGTTAAGAATAACCTGAATAGGAATGCCCGAGTCATCGCTTCCTTTTCGTATTTACTCGTGCAAAAAATGATGCTTCCGATTTAACAGGTGCATAATTACGAGAAAAATTATCCGGGCTAGTTTAAGTAAAGTAACTGCTAGCAATACTCAACGTCTTTGAAGTTGCATCTCTGAATATACATTAGATTCAGAGAGGTTACACCATTAAAACTAAACAGCCAACGCGTGCTTAGTCGCTGAGCAGCTGATTATAGGCTTTATAGCATTACGCCGCATGAAACTCCAACTCTAAGGGATAATAGAGCTCCACCACGAGATTCTAGTGATCTTAAAATGTTTAAGTTGGGATTGGCCGGGTTCACACCATACAGCCGGGCGCGTGCCAGTAAATGTCTAGTCCAATATTCTTTACTGCATTTCCATAGAATCATTAACGCGATGGGCATGGCAGGTGCCTTGCACGGCTGGTGTGAATCCTTACATGGAAATGCATTAAAGAATGTTGGACTGGACCATGACTGGCATATGCCCGATAAGTATGGTGTGGACCCGGCCTTATTCCACATGGAATGGCGTGAGTAACTTAAAACGCAACCCCATACGTAGATGAATGTACTCGATCTTAATTTTAGTGATGATTTTTTTTCATAAGTCTCAATGTTGTTCGTTACTAAACAATGTGTTCTAAAATATTCGTTTTCGTCCATGCCAGTGTCAGATGAATCAGTAAAACCGGTAAGTCACTTTGTATTTTTTCCTTTGCGCTTTTTTGGTTGTAATTGGGAGATAATGTCGAAACTTTTCTATTTACTCGAAACTAGTTCGACTTTTCACAAGGATTCATTTGTCTAAAGTTTCCCTGATTAAATCCGTTGAATGTGAAACTCTTTCTTTCGCTCGTTATCAACGTCTAAGAATTTCAATTTTAATCTGGGTTGTTAACGGCGATTGCCTCACCTGCGGTAAAATCACTAAAATTTATTTGCTTTTCATGTCCAGTGGAAATGTTAATGCTAAATAACTGCCCTCCAGGCAGATGGTGTTGAAAATTATAATAATATAGCGGTGTCAGCGTTCATTAGGCTTGAACTCGCAACTCACTGCTTAAAATTTTCTCCCTTTACCCGCCCGGCCTCCTTGCCGATTCTGACCAGAAACTGGCGCTCAGAGCTGGGATCGAACCCGCACCTCTCTGCGCCAATCTTGGTACTCTGAACTTTAACCACTGGGCCACCCTGCCTGTGACAGGTGCAAAAAAATATAACTCGGTACTCACTACAGTGAGTGACAGAGAGCGCATTTTCTCGTCGACGAAAACGTGAAGTCACGGACGGACAGACAGACGGGCATGGCGAGCACAATAGTGCATTTTTTTCCAGAAATGAAAAAATGCGCCAAAAAGACGTTTAATCGACGAAAATTCAACGTTTAATCAATGTTAATTCAACATCAGATGCCCGGTGGGTAGGAAATATTTCTTTTTCAAATCAATTGTTTGTTAATGTGTTAAATTATCTATACGTGGAGTCAGGGATTAATATAACGGTCAATGCAATGAAACTTTCCAATTAGAAGGTCAAGGTTAATTAAAGCGAGGAGAGAGGCTCACGTATTGCATATTTTAATGTTGAACCATAAGATATAATTTGAAATTCAACGCAAATGCTAGAGAATATTTTAATAACAACGTTGTTGTTGGCAAGGCCAGGAGAACCCGAATTACGTAGCATGAGATGAAGAGATAACGTCTGTGAAAGCAGCACAATGCTTCTAAAGCGTCGTAAGGCCAAGGTGCACATGGCGCGATGTAAAGAAGCGATTAATTTGATGTTCTAAGCGGTTGGTGTTAATGTAATGAGATTTTGACGGAATAGAGAATTTATGAAATTTTCTACAATTCTTGTACGTAATCCATTCATGACATTTTGCTCTTTCTCGCAGCCACTGTTGATACGTAGTGTGTGTCTAGTTGTTCACGATTAGGTTTACTGCCTAGATGCTCTTGTGTGTTCAATCACTATTCATTTGCTTGCATCTAATCAATTGTTTTTCTAATTAATGTATAACATCGTATTGCTATTGTAGGAATTCATTTAAAGCTGGACCATTTCAATAACCAAAGAGTGTCATATAATTCATTCAGCATCAGATGTTTAGATCAAGGCTACGCAAGCGGAGAACCCTTGCTGCACTCACGATGTTCCGAAACTTTATTAAATTCTTCATTGTTTTGTATTCAGCAACAAAAGTGCATTAAAAAAAAGCTTTTATGGCGGGAGGAAGCAGATAGCGGAGGATGTCTTTTGTTACGCGAGGTCATCTATTTGGAAATTCACGCCAGCTGATGGACGCGGTGCGGAGTGCCAGGATCTTTGGAAAATGTTTTCCTTCGTCAAAACAAAAGTGAAGGATGACTCGGTAAACATGAGCGTCCAGCCAGTGACCGTGGAGCAGCAACGAGACAAGGTTTCCTGTTGAAAATGCTATTCACGCCCGAGTGTTAGGAAGTTCGCTTTATAGAAGAACAATTTTTCTTGGAGATCAAGGATACTTAGCGCTAAATGTTTGTCATGAATAGAGGACTAAAGTGTTTGGACTGTATGTTGTTCCGGAAACTCAGTAAGTTACGCTAATTTCATTGGCCTCTCTGAGTATATTTTAAAGAATTAAATTACGATTAACCGTAAATCAATTTTTCTTCTTTCATTCCCCCGTCTGGTGAGATTATATCGTTAGTATTCATTCTCATGTACTATTTCATTCATAACCTGCTTTGTATGAAGATTTGATTTGAAATATTAATATCGTCCTGTCGGTATTATCGTTATGGGCGTATTTGTGAAGTACTTGGTTATTGTTTAGCCGTTTAGAATCGCAGTACGTCCAGCACTCAGGCGTAATGCCTGTAGGCAGCCAGCGGCAACCCGCGTTCAGCGGTTCAGGGAAACGACTAACGAGTTCAGTTCAGTAGGAGCCTGACTGTCGCACTGTGAGGTCGTTGATTGATCTTCTCTGTACAGCTTCGGATAGGAATAGGGAATCTGTCTTCTCAGTTTACAACGGAAACGTCAAATGTGATCGTACAAAGTGAATTCAAGTATAAAGGAACTCCTATGACATTGAATGAAATCGTAATAAAGGAAATTTTGGGGCTAAGTGAAAAATTCAATCCAAAAGGACATTTTCTTGAAATTGATTTAGAAGCCCGTTATCTATTCTGGTGATTTTAAAATTATTATAGATGAAACTTCATATGAATCACGTTGGAAAATTTTGCGTTAAGGGAAGGAAATAAGATAGGAGCTGCCTCCGATTACACCCGTTGAGCCCTCCTAAATCTTTCAGTTTCTTTAAATGTTAATAGGCCGCAAGAAAGCACTGGCGATTAATAAGAAATTTCAAGCGTTGAACTTCTTTTCCTAACTAAGATGAATTGTACTAATTTAACTGTATACGGAGAGCATGTGTATCAGTGGCATTATAGTGCAAATGTTTGACACCCCGAGTAGTAAGAATGTGCTCTGCATAATTCCCTAAAATGAATTTTACCCGTTGTCCCAATTTGGTTTATTTTATGTGTTGTATTCTGCAGCGCCAGTGGCACACCAGATGTAGTCGCCAAACAGCAGCCACTGCACTGCACTAATCGCTGCGCGTCTCAAAAAAAAAAAAAAAATGTTATGATTTATGAAAACTCGTGTTGTTGTGTTCGATTATTTCATTAAAACGGAAAGTTACTCAGATGTTGATATCAAAATCTCTAATTTCTGTTTTTGAAATCTATCGTTTCTATTGTTGGCTGGCTACATAAACTAAGTGACAATTGTAAATTGTGAGGTGATTATCAGAATCGAACATCTAATAACGTGCGCACACCATTTGAGACAGATGTATCTAGTTTGAAGACGTCAAAATCTACTGTGATTTTTTAATTATAGGGAATCTAAATCCCCGTCTTCATTTTCTTAAAATGAAGACGGGAAAAAAAATCCCCGTCAAACATATTTTCAATTAAAAAATATGTTTAATTAAACTTAATATGCGGTTCCTCATTAACATTTCAAACTAAGGTTAAATTTCAAAACTACTTGTTAGAATTGGCAACTGTTGCGTCTTCATTTGGAATTTTGTCTGCCAATTTTAATGTATTCCTGCAAATCGTTTTCCTGAACCTGCTTCTAGGTCACGCCTTGTAAGCCCAGTATTGAGCTTGGCCGAAAAGTTCCGAGACATTGTAATTTAGTGTTTCCTGTGACTGGCTACTACAGATCGGCGTCGTCAATGAATTGTTTTCTGGAGACATGCACGGCCTAATGCGGGTGCCGAAACTGGAACAGGCGTCGTTTGGTCTCGATTAAATGAACTGAAGATTCGTGATCAATCGTGGTTGCCTACGTGTGGCCGTCTTTTGATGATTTCATGAGAAACGCAGAATTTTCACAAATTCAACGTAGAGGTTACAAATTTCTGTAGACGTTAGGTTGGGAAGGCATTGTGACGAACTTAGTCAACATTTCCTCAAAAGCCGTTCAGACTTGATCTGTCTGCACTCTAATGCAGAATTGTATATAAAATGTTAGAAATTATTTTTAATTATATTAGAGTTTTCTATGTGACTATTGTCTGTTTTTCGTGAGGGGTATTCCAGTTTTGTTGATTATTTTTTATTCCAAATGCGAGTTCTTGTGTTAAAATCCCTAACATTTTGAGAGAATTGTCTCCCTTGTTACAGCTTGATTTTTAAAGGACCTTAATGTTTCTATCATTATTTTGTATTGAATTGCCTATTATTATTAGGACCCCTGTTATCGTCAACATGATAGAAAGTGACATTGAATAAAGAAGAATCACACCATGTTCGTACCGATTGTTCGATTTTATTGTATGTATTTGTCAGTGTTGTTCGCTGTAAGATGTCAACCTCAGGTAGATTTAGACGCGCCCATTGACTTGAGACCTCCCTCTCCTGCAAGTAAGTCCACCGTTGTCATTGTTAATAACAAGAAAGAAGCAAGACTTCCCCTCTTTGTTCCACGTGCAGCTCTCGGCAACTCACGAGATGCCCTCGACGAACGAGAAAGACCAAACCTTGTTCCATCGAAGTATCCAGACATCAGCCACAGCGAATCAGCAAACAGATTCAATGACAATGAAAGGTTCAGTCACTATTCCACTGACAATTTTGGAACCGACCAGGTTCATTATCCTGTGAGGGATGAGCCTCGACGTAGGTCAGACAGTCTTGATTCTCGCGACTCGAACCGGAGACCCGACCACTTCAGACCTCTTACCTCGAGTGATTTTAAGTCAGAAAAATATCAATATTCTCAAAAAAGTAACGGTAAGTTTGAGTTGCCTCCAGATCGGAGGTTGATTTCTACTAGATATAGAGAGTCTATTATTAGAGATGAAGCGAAAAACGTGCAATGGCAGGACGATCAGCGAAATGCAAGATACGGGGTTCGACGTGGCCACAAGAATGGACGCAAACCTCCAATACTGATATTCGAAGAAGTACCAGTTTACGTTCAGGTTCATCCTGAAGAGAAAAATGAAAAGGGAAAGCCGCCCTTGGATTATTATTATGAAGCACCAAATCGTCCGACTGCACCTGAAACTTATAACATAGACCGAAGACCTGACAGATTTTCCGAAAAAGAGAATTCTCCACCTGTACAAGAAAATGATCATTCTTCGGTGTATAGCAAAGATAGTATTTACACAACCGATCCTATCGAACATCATTCAGCGAAGAAAGAAGATCATTTTTATAACGATGACGATTTGCGAAAGCGTCCTTCGCAGAATATTAACACAGACGAATCTTTGAATAACGAACCTCCGCTGCAGCAACAGCTACCCCCGGAAGTGGTACATAATGTTGTATATGAAACCTTCCCCGCTTCAGGCCCTTCCATAGTCTATGATCCCCAAAGTCATTTCTCAGAGCATACTGGGCCTTTGAGTACTCCGGATTTGTCACTTCAACGTCGCTTGCAAGCGGCGGCAGCTGCAGAGGCCTTGGCAATAGGTGTTTTGCAGCAAAGGGCTGCTGCAGGATTGGCTCTAAACCAAAGACTACGTGAAATCGCAGCCATCAGAGGTCTCCAGCAAGCGATTGCTGCTGCCCAGTTCGGTAGAAGTGGATCTGTTGCTGGGAGATCGCAACTGAGCGATACCCATCCTCTTGACTCGCATTCCAACGACGAAACATCCTTTAAAATTGACAGCGGAGAAGCTCGTGAAATCCCTGAAAAAATATTCTCCAGTGATTTCAGTGATACTATTTCAAACCAAATCAAGAAGCATGGTCAAATTTCAGAAAAAGATGCATCTAGTTCACCTCAAGAAGCAGATTTTGCTACTCGTCTTCACTTCGTAAGGTGCGCGAATTATTCTGGCATATAACTCAAATTATTTTACGCGTATAATTTACATTTTAAGTTTTCAAATTACTTTTACGTTTTTCGTGAATGATTTGCGTTGCTTAAGACAATTTTGGTAGTAGTTGATGTGATGGTTTAAATACCCGCAGTACCCGTGAATGTCGATAGATTCTGTGACAATCGCTTTTTAAATTTAAGATGGATTTTGGCATGTGGAAATATTACTGGTATTGCATAGCTTTTTGTTAAGTTTCCCAATAATATGAAAGTGCAATAAATTGTAAAGTTTAAACTGTTATAAAGATCCTATAGCAATGCAGCTAAATCGTAATGCATGCTATCCTCATTGATTAACGTTTATCGTGTTACTTCGCATTCACTTATAATTTCTGATTCAAACCTCTTGCATCTTTGTTTTATTGGATTTTTTCTGCCTAGCAGGTCGTTCTTATCGCAATCCAAGCCAGAATTTGACAGCTCGAAGTATACAAGCTTGACTGGGTTGGCAAATGATGCTTCAACCTCTCAGTCTAATTTTGGCGACGACACTAAATTTGCTGAATTTCTTCTTGCACTGCCTGACGAAAAATTCAGGGGCCTGATGAACATGTTAGTGCCGATCTCGAAGGTTGATTTCAACTGTTGAAATTTTGAGATACCAGTAGTTTCAATTTTATGGCAGTTACAAGTTATGTAGCATTTGCTTTTTCTAACGATCGTAAAATGGATTATAAAATGTACCATTTCTACTATTGTATTGCATACCTTTAAATATTTTTAAATGAGATTTGTACCTATGAATATATTCATCATAAGATACAAGATCAGATTATTTGCATCTTCGTTTTGGTGTCATAAGATAACGACCAGTAATTTGCATCATCGTTTTGTTGTATCTCTCAGGTCAAAGCAGCAATTCTTGGAGACAATCATGACTAACGGTGCGGACAGACCGGATACAGTATTCTCTGGAGTCTTTTCTACACCTCCTCCTCTCGACCGCAGCGTATCGGATCAGTTCAATTTCAAAAGTTCTACGACTTCGCCGTTAAATTTCTCTCCTCTACCTGTGTCCACCGAGTCGTCAATTTCCCCCACCAGTCACTCGGCATTTATTTCTGGAGTTTCTAGCTCGCCTAGTCTATTCACCATTCCTGTTGGAGGTCAGGAAAACCACAAAAGTTCGAAATTTTCTAGTCATGATTCGCTGACGTCATCTCCTGTCGGCGACCTCACGAATTCGGGGTCATCAGACTTAAAAGGTGGGTTAAAAATGGCTTTACGAATGCACAGAAGAGATTACCATTTGTGATTTGTGTTTTGACAAATGTGTGTGCTTTCTTGAAAATATTCGCTTCCTAGTTTTATAAATCTAATAGAAATATTCAGGTATTTTTTCGTGATGTTTACGTTACGTCGTGGAGATTGTTTTGGTATGAATTCATTGGTACTTTCGTCGTTAGGCAAAATTATTACGAGAAATATATCATGTTAAAATCTATTTGCTATCAAGCATCTAAACTATTTGCAAAGAACACATTTTCGAAATACTGGATTCGAATATCCTGGTGCTTAATGTATTGCTCAATTATTTGCACATTAAGCACACCCCAATACAATTTAGTTTAAGCTCTCCTCACTTCGTGAATTGAGTTGGTATGATGATGTACTGCGGATTTATTGGTAGATTTGATCTAATTGTAGGTCCGGTATCTACTATCTACCGTCACCAGACCTCGTCCATCAAGCCTGCCCCGCACGGGAGGTAATTAAACTTCACTCGCGATGGAAAACAGATTGTAATAATATTTGTTAATTTTTTCCTAATTACTGATACATCATTAGGTTTGTAAATTTGGCTGGTAATCATTTGTTTTTCTCACATTCTCACATTGCACTTGCTTCCTACCTCAGCAAAATCTTTTGCCATAAAATATTCGGCAGGCTGTTAAGGCGAACTTACCATGCACAAAAAAATTGATATGCATGACATAATGTGTTCAGAATTCTCTTGATGTTATCTGAAATATGTTTATTCTCTAATTATATATTCAATCTATGTATGTTTCAAATCCATGTATTTACTTATACATCCAGGTCGCCATCTCCTGAGTCTGAAAAGATCGGACCAGTCGTGAACCACCACGGCACTGCACAAAGCGATATCAGTCCGTTAACTGACGCTAGCGTGTCATCGTACAGCTCCCCTCAGCCTCCGTATCCACAGTCGCATTATGGCAGCTTCAGGCCAAACATTCCCAACTTTTCTCACTTTGAACCTAAATTTGATAGCTCTGAAATTGAAAAGGCTTCTTTCGCTTCATTTTTGAATAATTTGCAGAAACATAATTCGAACGACAAAAAAGAATCCGTAACTGCATCTCCATTTGTCATTCCAACCGAACTTTCGCCACCTGATCGTGACAGCTTTGATTTCTCACCCCATTTTTTTAGTGAATTCCCTTCAGTCAATTCAGAAAGAAAATTTCAGTCACCCACGTCCAAACCATCACTCTCCGGAGCGAACCAGCATCCTTTCACACTCAATCCTCAGATTGTAAATTCGGTAACGCGTGATTTCAAGCACGAGCAGCCATTTTACACAACCATCAGCCCTGTCTTCCACTCCACTTCATCAAATCCTAGAACCATGGAAAACCCGCTCTCTAGTAATAAGAACGACGACCCTCGACCGTCTTTTACTGACGTCGAAAACTTAACGCTGGACAACGTGATTCGAAATGTCGTTGGTCGACCGTAAGTTACTTTGTTTGCTAAACCATTTAATTCTATTTTGATTTGTTTCAAATCATATTGATCTGATTATGAAAAAATATTTGTTAGCGCCTTTTCATACGCTGTGCATGAGTGTACTAAGTACATTTATTTATTCCTAAAATCATAGTATTTTTACATGTTCAAGGACAAGAAATACTAGTAATAACCTGACGATTCAGTCATCGGGCTCGATAAATTATAGTTTCTCTATGTCAGAGACCATTTTCTTTTGCATTTATATTTGTAAGCCAGAAGCGTTTTCTGTTGTATACAAATTATAAATTAAGCTGAACTTTCAACAACTCTATTTATTGCTTCGATTTCAGCTTGATCCAGGGACTCGGAGCTTTGGAGCCCAGGTTTCCGTTTGATCGGCTGCAGGAGCCCGAGGTTCAGCACGCAAGTCTCGTGAACAGCTTCAATACGCAGCCTGGAACTGACCACAACGATGATAACCACACTCTTACCCCGCTCGAAAAAAGGAAGGGCAACGCCACTGCACTGGAAACGGTTCTTATTTACTAAGTCCACAGGCCAAAAATAGTTTTACTCATTAATTGTGAAAGTAAGAAGAACTTCACTCTACTTTTAAATTCGTTTCCTTTCTATTTGGGACTGGTTTAATTTTGATGTGCGTAATTACATATAAGTTTATAACATGACGCATGAATGACTTGATTATAATTTGTTATCAGATCGTCGAAGTTTCCTCGGAGAGAGACGCAGTGCACATCACCCCACACGACATCCAATACCAGGAAATACCGTCCGTCGTGAGCGATCGGAGAGAGACGCAGTGCACATCATCCCACACGACATCCAATACCAGGAAATACCGTCCGTCGTGAGCGTACAAAGTTTAATCAACGATGCTGCTGAAACTCGTACGTTCCCGGTAACTGAGACAGCCAACTTTACTGATGTGATCGCCGATGCAACGGTCCTTCCTCTCTCGGATGCAGTATTAACGACCTTACCAGCGGGAAACGCAGAACTATTTTCTCAAAATGAAGTCAAATCAGTGATTTTATTAGACAATGCCTCTGAATTGAGTGACTTGCCCCGAAGAGAGTTAGTGGGAGATGCTGAGGCAAACTCGGATATATTTCGTGACTCAAACAACACCTTGCGGCAAACACCCGTACCTCAAAATTCGGAGCCGGATCCTTTCAATGGACGAGCCTCTCCTCAACCTCAAAGAGTGGATGTTTCTGGTTCTCTTCCCATTGGTCTCAATGGTTAGAACAAGATTTGGTACATATTTCGTTATCAGCCAACGCTTGGTGTCGGTCACAAGAAACCTGTTTTGCTTATTAGAATACTAATCTGTAAATGGAAATGTGAAAAAATTCTCATTATGATGAATGCAGATGTAAATAAAGTGTCAAGTAAATTTAATTAGATTTTATTTGCTTTAAAATTTTTGATTGATTTATAACAAAAAACGTGTGAAAAAGACCTGCCGCACAAAATCAAAACTATCCATTCAATGATTATGCATTATGGTAACATTGAATTGCACGTTCGCTCACACAATTCGAAGCAAATTGTTCCATGTTATAATTCATTATAGTCGCTGTTTCATGACTATGGGCAAATAAAATCCTGCACGTCTTCTATGTATTTCATTTTACGCAGTCGCTGGTGGCAACATTTCTGCAGTGGGGCAGGAGTTGGCGATGGCGACGTCGGTGGAGGAGTTGATCAGACGTTTGCCTGCCCACCTACGCAAGGCTCCTCCGTGTGCGGGAACCCCGCCTACACGACGATCGTTTTGCCTGCTGGATCACAACTATCCTAAGTACTAACATCTGCTTCTTTTAATTTAAGGAGAGAGATGATGCTTCTCACCAGCCTAGTTTCCAGGGACCTTACAACAATTGCGCCGCTTATTGTGCTAGGATTTTTTAGTGCGGCTTATAGTCTGTATCTATTTTCTATGTCTCAACACGGAGCCTTTCTCAATGCAGGTTTTACTAGCGTCGTATCCTATCCAAAATACCTCGGCTTGCTTTACTTTCGAGGTGACTGATATTCTCATTTATTCTGGGGTGGCCCAGTTTTTAAAGTTCAGAGTACCAAGATTGGCGCAGAGAGGCGCGGGTTCGATCCCAGCTCTGTGCGCCAGTTTCTGGTCAGAATCGGCGAGGAGGCCGGGAGGTTAAGCACAGCAAAATTGAAGCAGTGAGTTGTGAGTTCAAGCCCGCAAAATGCTGCGAATGTTCTGCGATGTTCAGAATCGGCGACAGGCCTACGGCCTAATAAACGCTGAAACCGCGATTAAGAAAAGTCGACGATTTAAGAGTCCTCGGTCCTGAGAATTTTGTTAAATATACTGAACTATTGGAAACAACTCAATATTTGGCGCGTCAATGTTACGCCTGTAAATTATATCAGGACACGATTATGGGGATAATGCGTTTCTCATTCTCATATTTTTTCGTGTCGAAAGCCTGTTTGCAAAAGCCCATTGATTTAATATAACTATTATTCTATTCTGAACTATATATAAATTCCTATGATGTCCACCTATTTTTGAGTCGACACAAATCACACAATACCAGATGCCGACACTAGATTGAGAATAGTTCACTTGTTGAAAATAGTTCGTTGTAAATTTCAGACCCGAGGCGGAACAAGTGGCGGCCAAGTTCAAGGCAGAAGTTAACGAGATGTGGACGGCGCTCGCCGGCGTGCTGCTGCCAACCGTCAGCGTGCAGGAGGCGGCCATGCAACTGCCGACGCTCGACCCAAGGTGCTTTTTGACGAGGCGCTTGATCGATCCTTCCTAGTCTTACTACTCGACCAGTGAACGAGTCCATGTCAGAAAAGTCAAATGAGGAACTTGCCGATAACATTCATTCCTCAGCGTTTTAATTACACTTTAAGTAATGGATTTCTAATTTTTTACATTGCAGGCTTTATTTAGAATTTTCTGAATATTTATAGAATTGATTGTAATACGGTTTTGCATCAAGCAAGTCATATTTCTAATTAGTTTGTAAATAAATCATCGTAGAGAGCACCAAAGCACAAATTTTTGCTTCCAATTTTATTTTTAGCTTTTCCAGAAAAAAAAAAAATAAATTTCACTGTCCTGAAAAATAAGCTTATCACATTTCTGGAAGCATGGAGTGCGAGGCGGAGGAGAGGAATGTTACGCTGGGCTGGAGCAGAGATGTGCTCGGGAACTGGCTGGCGGTGCTACAAACTGACGAACGCCAGCAGATCCTCACGGTGAAGACGTGCAGGTCTGTTTACTTAGAAGATTTGCAGCTCAGAGCCATTAATGGACATTTGTAGCGTGTCGCTAGAGGAGGCTCAAAGTTGAAGTGATGTAGTCATCATTAAAAACTATTTTGTGTTATGCCGGAGATTTTACAAGTATAATATTTTTTGTCTGTTACCAGTTAGACATTGTCAAACGCACATGTAAAATATTTGTACTAAGTTTTGGAACAATTACTTCTTAAATCAAATCCTTTCCAGCCTGACGGCACGCTCAACAGGCTGCCGCCCGTTGCTGCTGCCACGACCGCTGTTAGTCTTCCATCCCGAAGATCTCGAGCCAAGTCCCATGATAGGCAGTTTCCCGGTACCAATAGCGTGCGTCTTCTCAAAAACATTAACTTAAAGTTTAAAGTATGGTTAGTGACAGCAGATAAATTGACGATAGAAAATTGTATTAACCTTCCATCTACTACTTGAGTTGATCGAGAACGTTAACGAACTATGTCTCATATTCCGAAGAAGAGCAACATATTCAGAACCATCATTTAGTATTAAACTTTCCATTTTCATTGGATGGAGAGAGTAAGTAATTCATATCTGTACACTTTTATTCAAAAATCATAAATTCCCCACCAAGACATTTTCAAGGAGACTATTTTAGGATAATTGGTTAAGGAATGCTGTTGGTGCTTGATAATAAATTTGCACATCGCGTTTCAGATAAGTTTTCCCTAGTGCAATTCCTAGAGTTATTTGCATCTGTAATATACATGACTTGGTTTTGTAATTGAAACCGAGGACATATAATTAACATTATTTATTCACATAATCATTTTCGCATAGTGAAGGGGTTGTTAATAGACGGATTTGAGTGCTAGCTCTGGCTTGTCGTAGCCTAATTCTTCTGGTGTGCTGATCCCCAGCTCAGTGAGGGTAGGCTGAATTTCCTGGAGAAATGCACGATTAAATTATTAAATTATTTTTTGTTTATTAAATTGGTGCTGCTTGAAAACCGTGCACGCAGAATACACCACATGATCAGTACTATGGTTGATATCCAACTGCTGTAATAATAAATAATGTGCGTTTAAAAATTACTTTTTAAAAACACAACACTTCTAAAGAATCTATTGTCTTTGATGTTACACATGTACAATGAATATTTAATCTTATTTTAAAATATATAAAAAAAAAATATTTTAAATTTTTTCAATATTCAATAATTTTGTAAATTTTCAAAATTAATTCTGTCAACTGATTCATGCATTGTCTTTAATTTAGCAACGTAAAATTTTAATTATAATTTAGCAACGTAAAAAAATTATATTGTTCATTCTGCTGGATTTTCAACTCTTAATCCACAACAAGGATATGCAGATTTCTTGCTTATATTATTCAATTAATCCACGAGAAAATCCAACCATGAAATGAAATTTGTTATAAATTGCGCCAATTGGAAAGTAATTAGACCTCTCCTCAGCAAGAAGCAAACATACAGCCAGCTGCCAGCCCCAAAATATTTTAAATTTTTGCTGCATGACGGAAGTCAAATTGTACAATCAAACGCACTGAGAAACATAGTAAATATAGGCGACAGTGAACGCACCTGCAAAATGTACGGGTAAATGACCTTCTCGTGATGTCCGCACTTGGCTTTGATGGCCTCAAGGAAGCGCGTGGTTACGGCGTAGTCGTTGAGGCGACGACACGCGTGCATTGCAGCGATGATTATCTTTGGCTCGGGTATCAAGTCCATGCCGATGAGATCATTTATGGCCTGTGTCAGAATTATGATTTGTAAAAATACTCCAGCTAGGAATTAAATCGAAAAGAGAAAAATCATTGCCGACGAAAATAGCCTTCTCCTGTCTTTTGAAAATATATAAGGTACTATTTTAATTAATTGAATACAATTAAGAACAAACACGATTAAAAAATCCTAATTAACATATAGAGATACCAGGTAATCAGATCGGCAAGATTTAATAGTCAATGAATAAGTAAACGTTTACTTATCCTAGTAACAAGTACGTCTTCTTCAATGAAGGCTCATAGGAGAGTCAAGTAATAATCAATGCAGACGCATCTGATGTGTTGCAAGATTGATAAAAAGGCATGTATGGGCAGATTTGGGAGCATATGGCACGGTGTTCCCGAAAGACTGACGAAAGCAGACAAGGACTCTTTGACGGTTGCAACAAGACCCTTTCCCAACTCAACTATTTTGCAGGATAATTAGATTTAAGCTTTTAAATCTTCACTCCACATGGCATGTGTTACTCTGCATATAACACATCTACAGGGGTTATTACATTGTTTGTATCTCAATCATTGGGAACAATCATTTACTACTAATTATCAAACTGATTTGCAAATAAGATTCCTATCTTATTAGCAAATTTCATCTTTTCCAGGTCATTTTATGTGTCGCATATACGGTACCGGTATTGCTTGAGGCAATGTGATTTTGTTCTCTGTTTTTAGGCTATGCTATTGAACTTATAAATGAGTTTGTTCTGATTGCTTTATACTGACTCTTAAATGAATGAACATTCCCTTGCATCACTTAAGACCGTCTACCCACGTAAGATGTTGGTTCATCTTACATATGTTTTGTATTCCAACCATTATTTTAGTAGTTCCTGCCTAGTTACAGAATGGGAACCTTATTAAATGTCTACCTACAAGGTGCCTCGATGGCTCTTTGAAAATCATTGTGATACATTAAGTTCAGACAAACCGTTCTGTCATGTAATTAATCATTTAAAATGGTAACTGAAGTGTGTGTACATGTGAAGTAAGAAAAAATGCTGAAAAAAAGAGAGACTGATTAGAAAAGCAGTTTTCAGGCAACCTACCTTTCTCAATTCCCAGCCATCAAGATCTTTCTTGTTGAAATATGCAACATAGCGAGCATCAAATTCTTCATCAGTTTCTGTAGGTCCATGGGATGACATGCATCTTGAGCTGCTAACTGGAAAAATAAAGTTATTAAAATAAACACATTTATGGCAAATGGTATTATTTAGGAGGAACGTTAAATGTTTTCAATTGTTTATGATGGTTATGATGCCGCAGAATCTTTGCAAAGCATGAAACTAAATTATTTTTAGATTCTATTGTTTTCAATTTCACAAAATACCTAGCTGTTGAGATCTAGTTTTAAAAATATCTTCAGAAGCTTGTGATTAATACCTAGGCTGTAACAGAAGAAATTAGTATATACAATAAATTTTCTCACATGATCATGATGATCTGAGCTCATTATATACCTCCTTCAATTAATAATGCTTCAATTGATATAAAACATATAACTCAGTACTCACTGCAGTGAGTGACAGAGAGGGCATTTTCTTATTGACAAAAATGTGAAGTCACAGACAGACAGACAATCAGACAGACATGGCGAGCACTATAGCAACTTATTATCCATATGAGAAAATGCACTAAAAATGATAGATTTTAGGATAAACTTCGAAAGAAACAAAAAGCAAAAGGGGAAGGTGGCTATAGAGCCTGGATAGTTGCAAATACAGCAGTGATATGTCCAGCACAAACTTGAAGCTTGGTTACAAGTTCAAGTCAACATCTTTATGTGCAAGGAAATGATTGCAGTTTAATGATAGGTCAAAATTTGTTGCATTTGATAGCTAGAGCTAGAGCCCTGAAATTTCAAGAAACAATTTTGCACCTTAATTCACCTTCTACCTGATAATTCTCACCTAATCTACAAGTAAAATTTGGAGAAAATTGAGGACCATGGTGGGGAGAGGTTTACACCACTTGGCATCAGGCATGGAATATCTTCCTATCTTTATTCTATCTATCTTTCAATCCACAACCAGCTTTTTCAGAGCTGCAACATTTTTGCTAGATGAACTATATACCTCCTATCTAGTTGTCAACAAAAATGCACAATCTGGGCAGCTGGATTTTGCCTAAACATGATATTACAGATATACAGTTGTGGTTCAATCATAGGGGCAAGAAAAAAAAATATTTTTAGGCAACTGCTTGTTCAAATTGAGATTCTGTTTCATATCCTATTCAACTAATTCAAGTTAATAGTCTGGATGTTTTAAAATTTAGATTCTGGTGTATCTAAGGTCTGGGAAGTGTGGAAGGTCAACAAAGTCTTGCTTGCCCCTTATGGCATGGCGCAAGCAAGAATTAAAATTTTAAATTTTTAAAATGATTAAAAATTTTTAAAATGATTAAAAATTTTTAAAATTAAAAAATCTCTCATGGAGGCAAATGAAAGACTGAGGCAATGGAGGCAATGAATGAATGGAGGCAATGAAAGATTGTTGACCTTCTCTATGACTCCGCAAGCCCTTACTATTTACTACCATACATAGTGGCAATTGATAACATGTCTTTTTCTAGGGTCAACATACAATTCCTGAAGGCAATTTAAGCACATGCATTGCTTCACAATTTAATGAATGCCAATGGTAAGCTGTCAAAATATAACTTAGTTTATAAATAAATTTACATTTACAAAATTTGTTTTTACATATCTCTGGATCCAACATTAGTAGGTTCTGCTCTGCTAAGACAACAATGCAAGTTTGGGACTGGCAGCGCAGGCATCGACAACCACACATGGCGCCAGTTGAAAATGTACTACTGGCAACAACAAGTCAACAACACCATCATTCAAGTTCAACACTTCACTTTCGATGATCAGATTTAGAAGTCGAACTCATTCTATCCTTTCCAAATAGATGCGCTTGTTTGTCATAGAGGAGACGTTCATTCCTTTCCTATCTGCATCCGCTCTACTCTGGATTTCATTTTGATTCCTAATTTAGAGTAAACTCAGCATTGAGGGATTTTTTGCAATTGTCAATTAATATATCAATCGAACGTGTACAATTCACAAACTTACACTTACAACACTTACACACTTACAACAAACACTTACACTTACAACAAACTTACAGAACAAAGTTTCATAGCATGTTTTCCTGCACAAGTTTATAAAATCAAAAGTGATCTTTACCAAATCAAAAGTGATCTTTACCAAATTAAAAAGAAACTATTCACTCACAATGCCCTTGGGCTTGTACCAGCTTGACCGGGTATTTGCAGTTCTGCTCTACTTTTAATGAATGTGCTACATGATAATTTTATTGCATTTATTTTATTATTTATTTATGAATCTAGAAAGGGTGAAATAGGTCAGGTTTACAGGCATTTTGTGCGATGCGTGCATCATCGTGCATGAATAGTGGCAAAAAAGAGAGTATATTTTTTATTCTTCCTCAAGTTCAATTTTGAGCTTTTTAAGTAGACCAGAAGAGTAGGGTAAATGCGGTATATTCCGACATCGTAGGTAATTCCGTCACTTCTCTAGTTTTTCCTTTATATTAAGCTTTGTTTTAGTTCCATGCGTTCAATGAAATTTAACTGGCTTATAGTTGTAGGCTACCTAATAATTAGAATACCTAAGATTCAATTTATCAACCAAAACACAGGGAATCAAGATGAATTAATAATTTAATATTTAATTAGCCTAGATTGTTAAACTGCAAATTAAATAGCTGGGCCAATTTTAACTATCTTTAACAACTAAGATGTCTAAAACTAAACTAAAAGGCCTCAATTAGGTAAACAGCTCTGCCTCTAGGATACCTAGCCTGGCTATACCTACCTAGATAAAGTCATAAACAATTTTAACAGGGTTTACTTTGTATTTGTGATTAGGCCTATTTTATTTAAGGCAAGCTGGCAAGCATAGTTATCTTACTTATTACTCAAGAGTCAAGTAGGCATAACAATTGGCATAAATGAAATACCATTTAGTAGGTAGGTAATTTTGGAGAATGAATGAGTGCAGAATGAATTTTTCAAATATAGGCCTACCTACCCAGGCTAGTCATTCAATATCGATTCTTAGGTATTTCATAAAATCGAAGTACTAGATGATACGATGGAAATATATTCATAGGACGAATCTAAACCAACCTGCAGTTAGGCGACTTGAATTGTGCAGAAAAGAATTTTTTACTCCACCGCTAATTTTTACAAACGCTGATCGCAGCATTGTGAAGTTTTCTGTAATCTCGATTAGCCGTCCTGCACGGAGCCCGGTGAACGGTGATCAGAACTGGCTAAACCTGATGCCAGAGGTTATATTTTAGGAACAGCTAAATTTGCTTCCAATTTTGAAACTTGTTTATGATATCCTTGATTATTAAATTTTGACGAGCAGTTAAAACAAAAACACTGGAGTCTCTGCATGTACCTGATTTTGCAATTCCTTAGTGTGTTTAGTATATTAGAATGAATGAAAACGAATATACAGTAGAGTCAATTTGGTGCGTCCGCGTGATTATGTCGATTCGGTATTGATTTCGGTTGTGCAGCGGAGAGCATTTTAGTAGCATATTATAATATAGAAAAATATATTAGTGTGAGCAGGCGTTGAATATTGTGCTTAATTTGAACTGCTTCAGGACAAAATTTTGAAATGAAATTTTGTGACATTTTTCATTACACATTTTGCTAGTATAACTTCGTCAAATAAAACCTATAAGTATATGCACCAAATAAAATATGAAGCTATAAATCTACACTATGCTCCAGGGGGAGTGGTCTATATTTATTTTGTTTACTTCGATTTTTTAACTCTGAGGGCACTAGAGCGACAAACAGCTTCATATATTCTGCCTGACGTAATAAGACAGAACGCATCAGTCCTATGTGTTTATTTGCAATATCAACTGACTTTTCAATAGTTATAGAAAACTTTTCGTCATTTTAAACCTGAGCTTCAAATATTTTCAACGAAAGTCTCACACATACAGTATTTTATAGCGTAACTTTAACGTTGCTTCCATGTTTATTATTATATCGGTGAGCTATCTGTTTATTATTCTTAACAAAGCGGAGCACTTCACACCCTTTACACAGCTGTATTTAATGTAGGAGCTCTTCAGAAAAACACTTTCGTCACATCAAGTGTAAATGAACTAAAAAAAGGGGGGCGAAAACGCTCGCCGCGGTGTGTTGTGAGTAAAATTACACACATCGATAACGACGATGAAATCGGATTCGAATTAACAGAATTATGCTTTTTTGGAGAGTCTGAAGTTTGATCGTCAGCAACACGCGTCTCAATTGCCGCGATCGCAAAGTCACTGGAACAAACTGGATGTAACGAGACGGCCACCCACACGAGAGAGAGAATTAAAAAAAACTTGCCTACATAACTTGACTATTAACCGGCCCTCGCAAATTCTACAATAGACAAAACAAAAATTACGCGAGCAGAGAGAGAATGTTGATAAAAAACGAACAACAAATGTATTTAGCACACTTCTCTAAAATTACCAATGCTGCACTAGCAATACGATTCGCCCGGCAAACAAGCCGTGCAAATGATAGAACGGCCCATCGTCGCACAGTTTCATGAAAGGAAATGTTTCCCACAACTTTGAACAAAAAATAACAAATTTCTTCCACTGCACAAAATCTATTTCACATATACGAATAAATAATTTGAGATGAAAATTTTTTTCGAAGCGCCAGTTCAACAGCAAATCACTTCAAATTTAAATGCACAAAAATAAAAACCAAATTGACACGTTCAAATGGGATGGCACAGAAATCGGGTAACTTCTAATGCGCTTCAATGCAAATTACAATTTGAAACGGCATCATCAATTCACAGATAGGGTTAAGAGAAGCTCCCATCGTTATTCACTTTATTTCATTTCATGATACAAGTAAATTTCAATGAAGCAATGTACAAGCATCATGTAATTCGATGGATAAAAAATTAAAATATCGTATTTATATCCTTGAAAGCGCATCCAAGTGAATAGAACTATTTACAGAAGAAACTATGATACCAACTATCAGCGATGAGCCTAAAGCTTAAGAACAACCTTCGATACTCAGCTACATCTAAACTACGCTATTACGGCATCCATTGCAGAGCTGCCTACATTTAAAAACAATATCCTGGCAAACCTACAATCCAAAGCCTCTTTCATGGTCAACTTCCTCCCATATAAAGTCATTTGTTTTTCTCAATGCTGGAAATCTCAACAAATTAATAATTTATTAGCAAAAGGTTTAAATACATAGATAGAAAATGAATGGCCTCAAAATTAGCTCAAAAAACACTGACAATAGTCCAACTAAGAGCAAGCAATTTATTCACGCTATCAAAATTTCAATATAGAATAATTTTTTAAATAAAATGATGCAAGAAAATAACATAACTTTTAAGAAATATGATAACGATGGCAAAAATTTAATATTAATTTCAACAACAACTTGTCATGAGACTTGTCTGGCATAGGCGGCGAGAATCATTCAAATGTTAGAGGGAACAATGGCTGCTAACGACGCATCACATCATCACGCGTAATGCCTTCAATAATATATACAGAATATACAGCATTAGACAGCTACACATCTTTAGATTATCAATATTATTTAGCAGTTAAAATGAAATGAAATTGTATTATACGGCACAATTTAAAACAATGAATTCATATTTATGAGGTGTAATATCACCTAAAACCGGATAAAATGAAGAAATACCTATCAAATTAATATATAAAAACATTGTTAAAGCACGAATTTGCGACAGAGTGGTTTGGAGAAAAGCATCAACATATTGGTGCGGCAGCCACCCTCAGATACGATTCATTTTGGCTCGGCAATCACTCTGGATCACGTCTCTGGGTTAAGTAAGGCCTATTAACAAGAAGAGATTCACGCAACCATGCAATCGTTGTCTAACATCTAGTGTCATCGTCTTGATTGATCAAAACAACAAACGAATGCAATTATTAATAATATTAAGGACTTAGCAATAGCCAGTCGGTATAATTTACATTTGTAAAAATTCATACATATGAATGTGGTCGGGTTCTTGAGTTTACATCAAGGTCAAGGAATATTTTTATATTTGTTCAATAAATAATCCATCAACTTCATTGAGCCAGAAGTCTCTAGGAGGTTAACTCATCTTTAGTAAATCATTAAAGTAATAATTAATATACTTAGTGATTTACAAACATTTTTGTGGGCTTAATATTCACAGATGTCAGCTATAAAATTCGACGAACGATCGAAATTGCAAATGTGTTATTTTAACAACTCGATAAAACTCGGCAATAATTGTCTCGCTCTTTAATTAAAATTAATTTGACAGCATGTTTTTGACTGATTACACAAATATTCTTGCTAAAAAATTAGGCATGTGCGTAAAATAATCTGCACAAAAAGCCCGACTTCAATTGCCTTAGTTTTTCATTAATATTGCTTACAATTATCACGGGAGTAGACAGATATATCCTGAAGAGAAGATTCAACCGTAGTTCATTGGATCCGAATGAATGAAAAACTGGGTAAAATATAACAATCCAACAAAATGCACAACATAGGAGTAAAACCGCGAGAAAGCGTCGAAACAAGCATTTAAAAATGTTCAAACATAAAATGCAAGGTAGCAGGTACAGGATTTCTTTAAGACTAAGCATGTTAAAGATAAAAAATTTTCTACTAAAAAAGTAAAAGCTGCAAAGTACAAAGGAGATGTGAAGTATATGGAGCAACAATAACCTAATTCACGACGTAGTGTTCACATAATAGACATGAGTAGCCAGGTACCGGGAAACTTCCAAGTTTCACTCCATGTCTTCCTCACGCTGGCTCGAAAAATAAGACATGAGTCCGCTGCTAAACTCGCTTGGTTCGACTCGGTCAGGGCGTTTCAGGGGCGGTCCTACCCTTTCTAATTCTTCAGAGCCTTCACCACCAACCAAAGGACTACTTGGGGTAGGAGATTCGTGGGGGGAATGAAGACGGCCAGGGGAGCCGGGATAGTTGAGATGTTCCATGCCGGGATAACTTTTCATCATCAGTTGAGGGTGAGGAGAATGATGGCTAGGGGAAGAATGGCTGGGGTGAGGCGGTGGCTTGTAGAGGTCATGAGGTCCTCTCAGAACCCCCGGATGATGAGGACTCTGCAATGGTGGGTAAGCACCATGGGGCACGCCAGGGTACATGCTAGGAGGTAGGGGCGCGCGACCTGGGGCAGCGTGCAAGGGGGGAGGGTGTCGAGCTGGCCCATGCAATCTAGGAGGATAGCCTGGAAACGAGGAATGACCGGGAAAATGTTCGGGGAACCGAGAGTATGGGGAGCCGAGTCCTCCTGGAATTAAAGTTGCAGTAGGGAGAGGCTTCGACCCAGCAGCAGTTGTAGACACAGGCTGACTTGAACTTAATGACAGACTCACGGGAGTGGGCGATGAAGCGGCTGCTCGTCCAACGTTGGTCGTAATAACGCTTTTTGAGAGATCGGGTGAATGTTGACCAGAACTAAGAGGCTTAGAACTTGGTAATGTGACAGGACCACCCCCTGAACCAAGAAGAATATTTGCTGAGTGAGGTATTTCAGGAGCTAGACTAGAACTTTTGTTTCCTTTACCGCTGCCAGCCTTACCTTCAGCCACAGATGTTCTGCCAGGACTTCCGGGTTGATATTGAGACCCGGCAAGTGTGAGAGGTGGAGCGCCGAGAGTATGTGGAGGTTGACTGAAAGGACCAGGTTTCCTAATAACAGAAAGTGCAGGGGGAATACTAGGATGATTCAAGTTAGCGTACGGAGGTGGATTAGAGCCAGCATGAGCTCCAGGAGCACTAAGGCGCTGACCAGATATTTCTGCAAGGGCATTCAAAGTATTGAGATGAGGTGGCCATCGCTGACTGGGGCTAAGCCCCTGATGTAAACCACTCGACGTAGGCGTGGCAGCAGCAGCAGCAAGAGCAGTTAAAGACATAGTGGTTGCTAGAGAAGGCCCCAAGGCAGTGCTAGGTGCCATACCTCGGAGAATGGGATGTACAGAGAGCGAAGGAGGAAGAGATTTTAGCCCTCCACTCGAGGCCAACTTTTCAGCATTCTTTGTGGCGGCTTCAACTGCCGCCGTCATGATAGAGGCGGGACTCGCAGATCCTGACGGCGGCACCGCAGAGATACTTGTGCTTGCTGGTAACTGAGGAGTACTTCCCTGGGCGACTATGGCACTCGCAATGGCAGCAGCCGCAGCTGACGAAGAGGAAGAATTATCAGGGGGATTCACCAGCTCACCAGCCATCAACGAAGACTGGTCAACTGACGCCGTGTTCACAATGGCAGAAGAAGCCTTGGCGGGGACAGTCGATTTTTCGGCCGACTTCAAGACGGAAAGTGGCTTGTCTTTCTTGGGCGGCCCAACTGATTTCTTTTTGGATTTGCTGGGCTTCTCCGGAGTTGGTTTTGCATCGCTTTCATCTGCATAGAATAATTTGCATGAAAATTAAAACTTTTTGAAACCTCACTAAAATTAAGCAAGACAGACGTGTGATATCTGAGAGCAATATTCACTTGAAACTACCGCTGCTAAGAACAGTGGTGAGTATTTTACTAAAACTTGAGTACTTAAGAAATTGAGCGAGTGAAATTCACGTGCAATTTGCATTGAAAGTAGCAACTGAACTGTAATAACAATTTCATGCGTCAAGTCATAATCTTTGTTTTAATAACACGATCCATCAACCATAATAAAAATTCAATTATAAATATATAATTTGAAAACTTGTCTGATCTGAATTGATCACACAAATAACACCTTGATCTTCGTGAGGCTTTTAAAATACTTCAGATTTAATGAACACAATGCATCATATTATGATACTCATCAGGACTAGAAACATATTGAACTTGATGAGCACGTGTTAGCAAGCAAGAATGCATAATACTTTATCAACAGAAATCATACTTAAATTTGTATTACCTTCATCAGGCATGACTTTGCCTCTGCCAAGACCGCCCCTAACGCCTCGACGCCTCATGCGCTCGTCCCCGGAGTCCTGGTAGTCGCTGCTGTCGCTCTCCACGCGTTCCCCCTTCATCACCTTGCCACGTCGGGGCGTCTGGGCACATCAGAATCTCATTAGTTGTGATGCAGTTACAAACGAAATTCATTTATACCGGGGTTCTGGACACAACTTAAAATTTATAGGCATTGTTGCTATATACAAGTACGTGTTGAGTAGTTAGATACACGTTAGAGTTCTAGACAAAATTTGCTGTTCATATAATATATTTTTGAGCCATGATATCACTTTAGTTTAATCAAGCCAAGTAAGTGATTGCTGGATGCATATCACGAACAAGGATGATTCCAATATAGCATTGTTACAAAGTTTTGATCAGGTAATTGCAAGATGCACATCATGCGAAAGTATTATCCCGAAATTATATAATATAAAAAGAGCAGCCTGAAATGAGAGACCTCGTCTTCCTCCTCCTCGTCCTCCGTCATCATGAGATGGTCGAAGTAATGCACCTGCCGGCCTCTCGTCACGCGTCGTCGCGACCCTGCTTCCTCGTCATCCTCAGGGGGCGCCGAGTAACGCACCTTTGTAACAAAAGACACGATTCGCATCTATGCGAATATTGCTCACACAACACACATCTATAGATTCCACTTGAAATGTAATACAATTACCAAGTACAAAGCAAATCGGCTGCACATTACTTCTGCGACGTTCTATCATTGAGACACGATATAAGTATACAAGTCTTCAGTTCATGGACTTCTGAGAAGAAAAGTAAATATCAGCTTTTTCACATTTGACTGCCTAATATCAAAGGCACTAATAATTCCCAATGATCAGCAAACTATTCCCAAGTTTGGAAGTAACTTCACCTTCGGTTTGGGTTTAGGCTTTTCCCCATCAGCAGAGACTTCTTTAGTTTTCGCTTTGACTTTGACCCCGCCCTTCTTACTAGTCTTCTTCTTAGCCCCACCAGACTTCTTCTTGCCGCCACGCTTTTTTGAAGGACGCCGCGTCGTGGATTTTTTCCGTTTCCTGTTTAAAAAAATTAAATCTTGACGAGAATGTTCGGTGTTCTTAATTACTCTCGGGCATTAGACCAAATCTAGGAAATAATCAGGACCATAATGCCATGTGTTATTTGTACGACGTACTTAAGGCTGTTAAAAAGCCAGAGTTTACGAGTTTTTGTAGTTATACAGCATATATGAAACGTGAATAAAAAAAGTTTTTTTTTCAATCAAATCTTGGGTGATAGAACTTATTTCAACAGGATTATGAACACAAGAAAAGTTATGGCAGTGAGACCACATGAAAAGGATCCCGTTGATGAGCCAGGGGAATCTAAGGCCAAATAAGAACTAACGTCTTCTTGCTGCCATAATCGCTGTCGTCAGAGCTGAACTCTTCTTCGCTGGAGGAGACATCGCGCTTCTTCTTCTTCTTCTTGCTTTTCTTCTTCTTGTAGCGGTGGCCTCGGTCACTATCTGAACACATTAAATTACTGGTTTATATCAAACAGCGTTATAAAGCTGGGTGCAAATATTGAACAAAGAAACATAATAAGCACATATACGTCATTAATAATTCTGAGGTCAAAGCAAAATTCGTACAAATAAGGTATTGTAAGTTGAACGACTACAAATGTTACAACGGTTTAATATTGCATATAATATCTGTAATATTAAAAAAAATACATACAATATTTTAATGGAATACAAATTTCAGTCACCTTCATCAGAAGACTCGCCCCGGCGGTTCCTGGCGGAGCGTCGCAAGGGCAGCACGCGGCTCCTGAGCGGCCCCACGACGTCGCTGTCGTCCGTCTCGGTCTCCGTCGCCAGGGAAGAGGACGACGCTGCTGACAGGTCGCTGTCTTCCTCTTCCATGCTGCACAACACACACATAGAGGGTTAAATTCGGGAACAACATGAATAATGCCATATTGAACAACGCCGACATTGTTATCGAGATTTGAATTTGGTAAAATTTGACTCAAGACCGCCTTGCTGGGCAATACCAACATCGTCATCAAAAGTTAAATTCGGAAGAAATATTCATTGAAACCTCCATGCTGAATAACATTGATATCGTTATCATTTAAATTTTGAAAAAACTAAAGACTGAGAGACAGGCAGAAAAATGTCAGAAACTTCAACACTAAGTATTGTAATTGCACAGAAAATAATCACAAGTGCTATAACTCATCGTTCAAGCGTTTTAACTAGTAACTAAGCGATAAAAAAATACAAACTCTTACTATGAAATTTGTAAAAATTATTACTCATAATTGACAGAAAAATCGAGAGATTTCTATTAAAGAACAAAATTGAACAGCACAATAATATTCTCCACTCCTACACAAAAATCTTACCTGGACCCCATGAAATCCTCGTCATCATCGTCATCCTCCTCATCAACATCAAGGTCAGTAAGGCGCCTTTTCTTCTTGGTGGCCGCCATCGAGCTGAACGCCGCACGTCGGTTGCGTCCCTGCTGATGACGATGCTTCGAGCGACCTCTCGGCGCTTCCTCGTCCTGGTCAGACTCTGACGCCGACTTGTCAGAGTCTCTGTTGCCGCCGTCGTCCTCCTGTTCATGCATAAACAGATATACTGCCAAGCCTCTTCAATGACTGATGTCATAATTACTCAATGCTATAGACGTCAAAAGATAAATTTGTAACAAATTACGAAAAAACGAGAATTGCGTACTAATAAAAGAAACCAATGCAGTTAAAATTTTATGAACTTGTCTACAAACTCTATTAGATAATAAAATTTAAAAAATATTGAATGGTAAATTTTAACTGCACCTATAATGTTCCAAGGTATTTATATAGTGATTTCAGAACCGAAACGTTATCGTCTCTTTTAAGGTCTCCTACCCTTCATAATAAGTGTACTCACCTCCACAATGTGAAAGAAAGTAGGTATATAGAGTAAAAAGATATTCTACAGCATGCAGAGATATAAGATTAAGAGATATTCTCAGAAAAACACTTACGCCTTCATCTTCACTGTCCTTGAGGACAACCTTCTTCTTGCGCTTAGGAGCAACAACTTCATCCTCATCGTCTTCAGTTCCATCCTTATTGCAGTCCACTTTCTTCTCAGCAACCTCCTCTTCTTTATCTTCTTTCGGTTCAGTCTCGTGCGGCAAATCGTTTTTAGTTTCAGTCTTCACCTCCTCGTCATTATTAACTTTATCATCTGCAAACTCAACATGCTTGGTTTCCTTCTTGGCCGCTAGCTGCACGTCCTCTTCATCAACGCTCATGCGGTCTGCCTCGTCTGCAGCGTCATCGTCTGCTGGCTCCTGAAAAGCTTCTTCGTCCTGGCGTTCCGCGTGTAGGATGTTTCCGATGTCCTTGCCACGTCCTGCGTTACCTGCTCCTGCTGCGGCCTCCATCTCGTCCTGCAGCAACGTTAACAATGTCAGTGTAATATGACAAAGAATAAAAGTTCTTCTACCCAAATACCAAGCCAGAAAATAACATTAGAGTTACTGTAATTTGGCACAAAGATCTTGACAATCTCGAGTATCCACGAATTGTAAATTTGACTGAATTCCCAACAGTAAAACACAACTAAAAAGTTACACAATTATTCCACATAAAAAAGCGACGGATTAAAATTTAAAGTTACAGAAGAAATAGAAGGGACAGAAACACACGGTTACACACCCATTCACTATTTTTCAAATCGAAAGAAGCCTAGAGATAGTATAAAATTTAATAGAATCAAGAATTTAATAAGAGACTACACTCACTCTAATAGCGTCATCGATGAGCTCGTCAAATGTCTCGAATTTTTGCTTGAGCGGCTGCGAGACGCGCGCGCGTAATGTGTACAGGGGGCCAGAGCTGTCGCTGTCTCCCACCTCATCGTCGTCGGACGAGGTAGAAGAGCCAACACTCGAGGAACTATCGTCGCCACTTGATGAGTCCTGACGTGGTGCAGAGCATGAATTAGAAATG